ACATTTTTTGACGTAACTTCACTTATACCATTGAGGGGTGCGAAATGAATAAGCTGGGTAAATTGATAATGTTTCGGAAAATCGTGGGAAAATTGTCGCAATAACTTAATATAGCAGGAGCAAAACATATAAAACTCGGTTATAACACTCAATGTGTTTTACTTGAAATATCGCAAAGCCAACGTTACAAAAATCAAACAAAAACTTTACTCATACTTTCATGCAGACAATATAAATAGTTATCTTAGAGCGCATTATAAACCAAATTCAAACCCTTACTTAACGAAAATGTCAACTTTCGGGATAAGACCATTTAAGTTTTTGAAAGTAAATTTTAATTTTGAAAAGCGAGATTTTCGAGTAGTTACAGTATTGGTTTCAAAGTGTCATATGTTGAGTCAAGGCCATAGTATGTGTGAATAATACGTGTCCTTCAATATCTTGTTTATCAATACGTCGTTGTCTTAATACTTACGTCATTATTGTTATAATACTGATCCGATTCTGGATCTCTGTATTTTCCAGTTATAGGCAATCCGATTTGCACCTGGCAACAATTTTAAAATGCATCATTGCAATGAAATTAAATTACCAAAAGTAGAAAATGTAGTACAGGTAAATAGAGATGTTTGTTCAAATGTAGAAGGTACCTTAGATTTGGTCCTGCTCCTAGTTCGTCCACGTCGTGCGTCGCTAGGTTCAATTAAGAACCAGTAAAGTACGAATAATCCTAAAAGAACTTTCACGTTCAGTAGCAACATTTTTGTTCTTGAGCTGCTTAGAAGCACTAAAGCACAGCAATTACTTATTATCGTTATCTAGTATGTTCTTGTGAGAGGTCTGTGTGCTACTGATGGAACTAAGCGATCCTCCGCGATTCCAGCCGCGCCAATCTCTCAATTGACTAATGACGGAGGTGATCGCAGAGGGCCCTTGTCTCCCCTATGTGATACCCGACACTCGTCATTTCCTTTCGCGTTTAGTGCCGTGATATTCCCTAATAAATTGGACATCATAAATATTTTAAAATATTGTGGAATTGCTAATAATTTTGTTCTTTATCTGGACAGGGCCGAATTTAACCTATATGAGGCTCTTGGGCACTTTAGGATATTAGAGCTATGATTATGTATGATACAACAGAGTACACTAAAACTTTAAAAAAATTAGGGAAACTATCTTGTAAGATACCCAGTCAGAGTTGGCAGTGTTTGTTAAGCCCCTTGTTCATTAGAATATAAAAAAATATGATAAGTTATTTATGGTCAGTAATTATAGTTTTATTTTTAGAAAATAAATATGTTTATTGGTAATTTCGAATGTCGGTTGGCCATCTGGCAGGAAATAGGGGGCCTCATGAGGCTCCTGCGTCAGGGCTCTCTTGTTTACCTTGCTTACTGTGATGGGCTTACTTAAAGTTGTCTGTCTCTCTGCTCGTCAATTGCTTTTATTTAAATTAGTCACATAATTGAAGATCATCAGGTGGCATGTTTACTCCACTCTCTTACTTTACACAGTATTGGAATGAAGCCGATTGTCGAAACTATAACAATTAAAATTGTGAAACAACAGTAATCTCCAAGTCAAAGGCACATTTTATGTTATGAATAGATTGATCTTAAAGTGTTAAAGTTGGCCTTTATCGTGTGAGTTTCTTTTTACTCCTGTCTAAAATGTCTTTTCTATTTTGGCGATGTTTTGTTGATTCGCAGAGGGGTGTGGAACGTGCCATTCATCACCAATTGTTACTTGGTGAAAATGTCAGTATTAAGGACGCCTGCGGCCAAAGCAGTCACATATTCCAAGGAGGGCATTGACCCGGATATGGCCTTTTGCGCCAGCTTAAGAGACCTAGTACGTAAATCCAGCAACGTACCTAATAAAATAACATATCAGATACCACATTAGGTACAAGTAAATAAGAAAAAAGCATAAAAGATTCATTATTGATTTCAGGGTCTTTTCATGCATGTTAGCAATGAACTTGAATTTGGACATTTAGTAAATCCTGAGCACTACGACGTTAGCCGCACAAATCCTGATGTTTACCAGGTGTCTGACAATAAGATCGAATGGGAAAAAAGATATCTTCATGAAGAATATTCAGAAAATTTCGCTGAGGATCGTGTCCATTCAATGGTAAGTATGAATATTTAAATCGAGCTTTACTATCCTTCTTTCATATTATTTATTCAAATGGCTTAGATCATAATTTGTTAGGCACATACTATATATTATTAACACGTAAAACACGTACTAAAGAGCCAAGGCTGTTGTAGATCATTTATATATATGTATATATACAATTTATTTTATTTATATGAAATAATAGCAATTATCACAATTGAACAACGGTTACATTTTACTTTTTAGCCCTGCCCGGACGTGTACTGGTTTCCGCTTATGTCCAAACGATTCTGCAAAGAGTGGATCGAAGTGATGGAGGCTTATGGCCAATGGAGTGATGGGTCTAATCAAGTTAGTGACAAAATAGATTATGATTGCTTTTTATTGAAACTCTGTTTTATGAATTCTATTTTATGTTTGGTGGTTAAAACTTACAACAAAAAGAAAATTCTCTTAATATACAATAATAGTTTAAAACAACGATTAAGATAACTATAAACAAAGTTAATATGTTCTTATGGTGAAATTTCAAATAGGAATGCGTGATAGTGTCCGTACCGTAGCCTGTTTTTTTTTTATTAGAGATAGCAAATTGACAGCAGCTAAGGTCACTTTGAAAAGTTTTCATGTTTAGTATTGTATAATGATATCGCGCATCGGCTTGTTCGTCCCGTCACTTGGTTTATTAAAAAAAGTGTCACAAGTCCAAAATCTTCATTTTTTTCAAATGCTGTTATGGGCTTATAACGTACAGAAACTTCCCCAGTTTTCGGGAAAGAAATAAAAAAGATATGACTATATTACACAATTACCTAAAGTTGTTGATGACACATCAAAAGAGAATTTGTCCGAAAACATAACTGAAATATGTATCAACTTGCCACTTTTACCATTTTTTTATTTGTGACTGTGTTACATCGCAATGAACTCACTGGAACAGAATCAGTCAAAATGAAACGTCAAAGATTTTTTTACGATCAATCTGCTATAAAATTCATTTACTTTTTTTACATTTAGATTTTCATTAATAATAAATATAAAATAATAATAATATAAAATTCATTTACATTTACTTTGTACATTTTAACCTACACATTAAAAGATATAACCTAACCTTACCTCGATTACCTACTCAGTGACTGGGTGAAGTCGAATCTCCATAATGGGGTGTGTTATCTGATATCGCAGAGTTATTTGATGAATTATTCCTTATAAGGTCCTGGAACAAAACTTGTTATTTATGATGTTAGTAATGTAGTTCTGCGAGGTTGTTAGTAAGAACCCTGTAGGTGTGAAAAAATTTATTACGCAATATTGAACAACGCCGTCGCGGTGCTCGACGGCAGGGAAATAACAACTATACGTATTATTATTAATTTGTCGAGTTACTTTTCCACTATAGTAGTTTTCTTTATGTTTCATTCTCATTCGTACGCAGACTACAAAAAAATGAAGCTATTTTATCGATCAATCAACTTTTCTTTCGTCGCCTGTGAAAATCGCATACGAGTTTTCACATAGCTCGATTTTACTGATTTCTGTGGAAGAAAAACTTATAAACTTCATTAATTTTTTATTGAGTTGTTATTTTTTTATGTGAAATTACTCTACTAGCTTATTGTGTATTGTTATAATTAAATACAAAGATCGAACACTCAGAAAAAATTCCTTCGATCCGGCGAGATTCGGCTGCAAAGGTATCTATCTAAATGGGTGACGATATACTTCCATAGATTTCTCTTTGGCGCTAGGGCTAAAAAGTCGTTGAAGTACTAAATACAAAGGTACGACAATAAGCACAGAAAAATTTGTGAGGTCCGCTGGTTCGTTCCGTGGCTTAGTTGGCATAGCGTTTCGCACGGTTTGCTAGAAGACGTCGGTTCGAATCCGGCCGGATCGAAGAATTTTTTTCTAATTGTTCGATATTTATATATTATTAAAGTAATATAGTATCTGCAAGAGGTATAACTTAACTAATTAAAGTTCTAACTACAAACATTATTGCGTTTACCACATTTTGATCTTCGTCCTGAAAAATTACATAGAAATCACAGACAAAGTTTTCTCTCTAAGACGACGTTCTATTGTGTGTAGTTTTTTTCGTAAATATATTCTAAACAAAACTTACGGCGAAATCTGTAGTAAAAATTGCTTAAAAATTCAGGTTTTATTAAAAAAGATTCGCCTCAAGGTCAGTTTTTGTTACTTTCCTAGTCTTAAAAAACACATTGAACACCCACACACGCAACCCATTGAACCTAAAAATACAACAACACACGAGAGATAGAAATTGGGCAGGTAGCATTGAGTGTAAAAGTGTGATGAGCTTTTTTAGTAATTTAATTATTTCTATGCACAATTCACAGGATAAACGTTTAGAGGGCGGTTATGAAGCGGTACCCACACGAGACATCCACATGACCCAAGTTGGACTAGAGCGACAATGGCTACACATCCTCAAGGAGTACGTGCGACCACTACAGGAAATGGTTTTCACGGGATACTATCATAATGTTAGCATTTTGTTTTAAAATATTACAATACTGTAAAAAAAACAATTGCCCGCACATTCACAGTCAGGTGGTTAAAAACCAGGCTTCTAGGCAATATAATAACGGACACACTCAACGTAGCCTACTAGGGAAACCCTGTGTCACGGGTGCCATGGACACACATATAGACAACCACAAATTACACCCAAACTCACGAGAGAAATTAATGTAGGCCATACAAATATTTCTCCCGGCCTGGAAATCGAACCTGGGACCTCTGCGTGGCAGTCGGGAATGGTAACCATTCGGCCACAGAGGCAGTTAAACGATAGTTGATATGATCATTGATAATTCATAAAATTAATAGGATCAACAAAGTGTTGCTGCTAGCAATGTCGTGCTATGTTTCAGAGACGTATCCAAACGTATCAAATGTCAATTCAAAATAGATGCAAACCAATTCGTTTTCCAAAAGGTTTTCGTGTTTATTTAGTTTTCTCACTGTTCGTCATTGTTAATCAAAAATTAAAAAGACATAGCTATGAATCAGCTTGGTTAATTATCGGAAAGTCAGTGTAAAATTTATGCAACCATGATATAACCCCATGAAATACACATAGAAGATTTTAAAATTAGCCAAATTAATTTTATTTACATATATAACCATATATGACCATTAAATAATTATAAATAAATATACATGAAAATAGCATCCAAATATGTTACACTTATGTACATTAGTGTTATTTGAAGTAATGTTGCAGAAAAAAAACTTCGAATTCTGTTTTTAGAACAAATTTAACTGCTAGTTGCAGAATGATCTATAAAACCGTCTATTACGTTATCTAAGCAAAACTAAATACAAAATAACACATAATAGAACATAAAATTATATGAATGTTCGTGCAATTAAACTTAATCGAGTACTTACTGACTTCCATAAAAATGCTTACTTCTTTTTAATGACGAAACTTAAGAAAATATATTTTTATAGCCTCCGGTGTCCATAATGAACTTCGTCGTGCGGTACAGGCCCGATGAACAGCCCTTTTTACGACCACATCATGATTCTTCCACGTACACAATCAACCTTGCCCTCAACACTCCACGTAAGTTTAATATTTCTTACTCTAAAACTTATGTCCACCTGCACTAAAGTTAAGTATGTCTTAAATCAATGCTTGCAATGCAAAAGACACTCCTAATACATTTTGTTAAGAATCCCTTATCAATTTAAGCATTGGTTTAGAAAGTACTTATATTTAGTGGAAGTGGACATTAGTAGTATAAGTAGATAAAGATATAATGAGTTTACCTTCTATTATCGACTCTGGTATCTCTCACACATTATTGGGTAAAAACTAATGTTTTTACGTAACGACGGCAACAGAGTGTACCGATTAACTGCAAAAATCATGATTTACAGTAGAGGACTTTGAAAATAATTATTTATTCATTCATTTTTACATTTTAGGAAAATTAACGGTCTAATTATACAATTATAGTTACAGAGTTTAGAATTAATTAGCACATAAATATGAGTAATCAAATGCCATTTATCTTGGTATAAAACTAAAAATGTTTTTTGATAGAACAGATAGAATTAGCTAAAATTTAGAGCAATGAGAATGAGATATTCATATTCATAATATAATATATATTTCGAGTTCTTAGGTTTTCGCGAGTGTTACACATGTCAACCGTGACCATGAGACCTGTAAAGGGCCCGAAACGTCGGTTTGTTTGAAAAAACAAATATACGCGATTTAAATCCGGAAAAATAGTTTTATTTCCTATAATATATGTATATTATTTTATGAAGTTTTGCATTCAAAACGCACTATTGGAAAATGATTTTGCCGATTCTCTTTGATGCCGTCGATGTGTAGCTAGCTAAGGTATTTCACATACGAAACCAAATATTATCGTAACTCTAAATTGTGGAACTCAGAAAACACGACTTGAAAATTAAAAAAAAATGAATGTAACCAACAATATATCGCTCATTTGGTGCAACATTGACGTAATTGTTATTTAGGCAAAATTTAATTGAGTTACACATCTGTAACACAAACACAAAGTTTTTTTACACGTCATGAATTTTAAATAAAATTAAAAAACAAATTCAAATCCATTTCGTAATATTACAAGAAGTGCGTCAACGTCAGCACCAAATGAGCGATATTTGTATTCTCGCTTATAAACGGAAAATTAAGTATTATATATAAATAAAAATAATATCATTAATATATATTTAATGACCCAATATGGTCCTTTCAGTATTTTTTCATTTTTAAATTGTGTTTTCTCAATTCCACAATTTTGAGTTACGACAGCATTTGGTTCTATGTGCGATATTATCCGACTAGTTTCATACGTTACGTTGTATAAAATATGGTCTCCTTCTGTCAAGTTTAACTTTGTGTTATTTTTTAGATGTAGATTATGAAGGTGGCGGGTGCCGGTTCATACGGTACAACTGTTCGGTGCGAGATACCAAACGGGGATGGCTGTTGATGCATCCCGGTCGCCTCACGCACTACCACGAGGGATTAATAGTAACCAATGGCACGCGTTACATTATGATTTCATTCGTCGACCCTTGAGCATATTTTTCAACGCAAATTTTTAGAATAATCATGCCTCATTGAGTAATTAGTTAATTATAATAAACAACAAATGATGGTAGAAAAGCAAATGATGGTTAAAATAAGAGATACAAATAAACATTTTTTGTAACTTAGCATGCATTTATATTTTTAAGATGCAATTTATTCATATTTTTTTTAAGATGCTTGAAATTTTTTACTTAACGTGTTATAATTAGATGCATAGTTATAATGTACCGCTTCCTAATTAAAATAAGTGTAACCAAAGATTTTATGTACCCTTTTCTGTGCGTATGTGACAATAGTATAATTATCTGATGAAACAATAGAAGTTTTTTTTATGTAATGGAGATAGGTTAACCTACCTACACTTCTGTTTTCCTGGTCGAACTGGAAAGTGGTTTTGTCTTTCCATTGTACATATTAGGGATGCCGCGGATATGAGTTCCGACGGCATCTGCAGATGCGGACGCGGGTGCGAATGCTTTCACCTTCAAATTTGCTGATGCGGATGTGTGCAAAGAATGGGTCCTTTTTTCGGAATATTTTTATAAAAATATTTGATCCACATTTGCCGATCAAGCCTGGTGATCATTGAATTATCATTAATTTAAAAAGATATCAAAGTTTTACATAATTCTGTTAGAAAAGACATGGATGAAATAGTACATTTATTAATACTTAAAGTTTCTGATGGGTAAATTTACGCTTTATAAATAATAACTTTGTAGTTTATTCGGGATTTAGTCTATTTATAAGTGGATCGTTAACTAAGGCCACCATTTTATATGCAATAATTATTTATTAGTTTTGAAAACAAACAGATTGTTGATTGCAATTTATTTTAATCGTCTGTAGATGACTCTTGTCTGAGGGAGGTTCCAAGGGGATTGTCTATTTCCTATACCTTACCCATTTCTGGCGTCAATCAGTAATGTGAACATGGTACTGTAGTCTAGGCTCTACTCTATGAGTAGAATCACTGGCTGAGTGAATAGGTTTATAATTAGAATGCTTTGAAAATGAAGGAAGAGAAAAGAATGGAGCATCTTGGAATTATTGAAGTTAATCCCAGTTTATATACTTAGAAGTGCCTCTCGCTACTCATTAGAGCTACGTCCCAGTTACAGTACATACCTACTGTGTTTCGGTTTAGAAGGGTAAGGACGCGTTCCTATTATGTCGTAAAGTTTTATTTATCGTTGGACGACTGTCGCCTCTAGCCTGTGCCCATATCACGGCTATATGTCGTGATGTGGGTGTTTATTTTATCGCTAAACGACTGTCGCTGCTGTTCCCGCTAGATCGTGACGACAATTTATCGGTTCACGGCAGCGGCCTTGTCGTTTGCACGACAGAATCTTTTGAACGTTGACGTTTTATTTATCGTCCGACGACTGTCGTTCTAGCTCAATGAGAACATTGTGACAGTCTGTCGTAATGTCAAAAAAAATTCGTGAACGACGGTTAGTCGTGTTATTCTATGTGTGAACAACTTTATTTAAATATACACGCCACGACACTTTAATCTGCACGACTATCCGTCGTCAGGAAATATTGGGAACGCGCCCTAAGGGTGCTGGTGAAATTACAGGCACGTGGGACTTGTCAACTCATGGCTCAAGGTGACGGACGCATTGGCAGTGCCCCTCAGATCTTTGTAATTTAAAGCTCAGTGGCACTGTAACTGTTAAGAACAGGCGTGTCGCTTAAGGGCTTAATAAATGCTATTTGACACGAATTTAATGGCGCTCACGCCGCGCGGAGACCGCGTTGCCGCCGCGTAGCGACCGCGTGCATCTAACTGTCATGGCAAAGTTGGCTCTATTTATTTAACTTTTACGTTTTAACTTAATAATAATAATAACGCACACACTCAACATAGCCCTGCACTAGGGAAACCCTGTGTCGCGGGTGCCATGGACAGACACATAGACAACCACAAATTACACCCAAACTCACGGGAGAAATAAATGTAGGCCATACACATATTTCTCCCGGCCTGGGAATCGAACCCAGGACCTCTGCATGGCAGTCCGGCATGGTAACCGTTCGGCCACGGAGGCAGTTGAACTTAAATGACTTAAATGAGCTTAAATGACTTAAATGAGCTTAAATGAACTTAAATGAGCGCTCCGGACGCGCGCGCGAGATTGGCTTGTCTTTGGTCTGTGCGAATACTTTCGCGTCGTGAAACTGGGCGCTAACGCCAAGGGCACGGCTTATTGCTCGTCCCGTCACTTGGTAAATAATAATCTCAGTACAGAGTACTAAAAAAACCGACGTCAAAAGTACGTGGAATGACGTCTATTTGCTAAGTTTTATTGAAATATCCCCTAGTTCGACACTATACAGGACTTGACACTGGAGATAATAAATATCGGTTCTCACTACTCAAAGTATATTATATTGAGAGAAAAACGCCTTGATTTGGAGAAATAGCAAAATCAACCATTAAAGTAATTGCTCCTAAATTAAAGTTAGGCGCTATTTATAAAAATGAATCTTCATGCGTGAACAGCCTCCCTTCGAGGTGGATGATTTTCTTCAAAATGAAATGGGACCACTATGGAAGTACCCCCTTTCCAACAAAAAAAGTATCATGAAAATCAGTTCACAAATACCGGAGTTATCGCGTAACATACATACAAAAAAAAAGGACATTCAGTCGAATTGAGAACCTCCTCCTTTTTTTAAGTCGGTTAAAAATAGCAAGCAAACGAATGTATTTTTTTTATAACACTGCCCATATATTTTATTACTTAAGATAATATACAGGTAAGGTAAAAAAGACAATAAGAGCTTAACTCCTAGAAAGTAAAACTAGGATTTTTAAATTATATGAATAAAATTGGGTCCCCGCGGCAAGGTGCCCAAGATGCTGGCAGCATTCCCCCTTTGTATAGCTATGCTAATGCGTCGGACGAGGTAGCTGCCGGCCCTTGGGTTTCCCAGACAGTCTATTAATTTTTTCTATAAAATTTTGTACAGATGAAGGGCCCTGGGACCCCACGGGCCAAGGGCTTTCGACTATTTTACCCCCTTTCCGACAAAAAAAGGATCATGAAAATCGATTCACAAATACCGGAGTTATCGCGTAACATTAACACACAAAAAAGAACATACAGTCGAATTGAGAACCTCCTCCTTTTTTGAAGTCGGTTAAAAAAAGAATTTAGCACATGAGAATAGTTTTTATTATGAATTTAAGAAAATGTATGAGATGCTGAAAGTTTTCGTTGTGTTGCGAATATTTTTTAAATTTACTCAACATCAATTTAAAACTTGCGTGTCTATCTTGCATTCACTCATATACCCAGTTTTATTTAAATACTACGGGTATACAAACACTTTAAGACTTACAATCAAAGCAGCTTATTGAACTGGTATCATGTGAAGCACTGTATGTAAATTGTTGGGATGCAAAGTTCTTAAATTGTTTCCCTGGATATTGATATAAACCGCTGAAGATTTTCTCTGAATATTTCTTGTACCCCTTATATTCTTTTTCCTCCCTTTCCCATTCACTCTTTTTTATAAAAGGTAGTAGCGGTCTGATCCACTTTGGTACAAAGGCATCCAAGTAGCGGAAACGCCTTTTCCAAACTCGGTGTGTGTGAGCGTAATGTCCGCCTTTACCACTCAGCCAATCGGGAAGACTGAAAAACAAACAAGGTACAATTGGCAAAAAGATAGGTAGGTAATAACAGTACCTGCCCACATTTTTTAAACATTATAGTACAGACGGCAGCACATCAAGCTACACATTGATGGATCTTGTTCCGTTGCACTGGAAGCGATATTTAAACATAAGTGTATAGCTTGGGCTGTTGACTGTACATAAATAATAAACTTAGATGTTTATTGAATATCACGACGTTTTATAACCGTGATACTCAATTATTGTTTGTGAAGTTCCTCCACTACTTTGTTATAATTATTAATAGAAAGATCAAACACTTAGAAAAATTCCTTCAATCCGACTGGATTCAAACCAGCACTTTCAGCACACCGTGTCTGACGCTCTCCCAACTGACCTTACGAATTTTTCTATGTGGTTATTGCAGAACTTTGTTGCTTGGTTTTAAGAGATATTATAATAAAAATTGGGGCTAAGCATATAATATGTGTTCAAACACATATCGGCTACTAGTAACATAAAGCATCAAAAGCTATATAATATAATATAAAGAAATAGTAAGTATGGCTACTGTTTTTAAATGTTGTTTAGAAAACAAATTCAGATTATAAACACAGGATTTTTAGTAAGTACACATTTTCGTAGTACAGTAGTTTTAGCATTCTCTAACTTATTATACAGGACATTTGATAATAATAATAATAACGCGCACATACTCATAGCCCCGCACTAGGGAAACCTTGTATCGCGGGTGCCATGGACACACACATAGATAACCACAAATTACACCCAAACCCACGAGAGAAATAAATGTAGGCCATACAAATATTTTTCCCGGCACGGGAATCGAGCCCGGGACCTCTTACGTGGCAGTCCATTCATCAGTCCATGGTAACCGTTTGGCCATGGCGGCAGTTAGGTAGAAAATGCATAGACGACATTAATAAAAAATCAAACACAGAAATCTAAATAGTTGACTCGAGCTAGACTTGGCGCCATTGTTCAAGATCAAATGCGTTAATTTTTAGGGTTAATCAAAAATAGTTTTCTAATTACAAGATCCCTACTCTCGAATGTCATTCGACCTATTCATAGAATGTGTTTTAGTTACCATAAAATCAAGAGTAGCTTTCGGAAATTAATAGGTTTTAAAATTACGCTCATATTCTGCCTACAGTTTGTGTTTATTCTATGATGCGCATGTCCGCTGGTAGTGAAGAACGCTTACGCACGGAATGCAATGGCATGCGTACGCGCACTAACGCTCGCAATTCCACGAATGCGAAAACATCAATGAATGATAAATAATTACATTTCAGAGAAATAAGTACGTTTAGTATTGGTATGGACGCGACATTGAGGTATGCTGAGAAATGTTTGGGACCCTGGACCGTATCCTCATGCTCCTACTGCATGCGCCCACCGACGACTAACGTGTCCGTATGCTCCTACCGATAGGACTAAAAAAAATTAAATAGGTATATCCTCATGCTCCTACTAACAGGAGTCACTACCTACGCTTATCCACAAGCTATCGCGTCTTATTGAAACGGGTCAGAAGAAGCTTTACGTCATATGCGAAAAAGATGTACGTTTCGAAGCGACACACGCAATGACTTCGCTCAAATTGCATGCAGTGCCGGCTTTATTTATGGTGCAGGGTGTGGGGCGTAGGTATAATTGGACGTAGTTAAACAAAAGGATCCAATGCACATCCAGTCACTTTCGAGATATGGCAGTTTGAAGTAGAAAAGTGTTTCTCACTCTTTTTATTTTCTTCTTCTTATTTTCAAAATTTATAATGTCATGTGACTCCAGAGATATTATTTAAAATAGGTTTATGTGTTGGATTTTTTGCTGATCTTAGATTAGATTTTAGGAACCGTTTAATACACACTTTTTTTTGGTAATTTTATATGTAAAAAGTAATGGAACAAAAGTTGTTGCTAAATATAATATCCCCACAGAAACATACCAGATAACCATACCATCAATATTGTGGTCTCAATCACCCAGTATAGTGTGTAACAGAGCAAGAAAATTCACTCATTCAAACTCATTTTTTGATAATTTCATGGATTGGAACCTTTTTGCTTAACTACGTCCAATTGGCGAAATATTTGCATAGATTCGTCTTATCACTTCATCTTTAGAGTACAGACAAAAGAGTGAACCGTCTCGGTAACACATGTGGCACCTGCATAGTGCAAACAACTAGTTTAAGTAAATACTTTTACGCATTGGCACTTAATTAAACTTGAAAATATTTATGCGTAAATAACTTGTTGAATTAGTAAGAAAAGAGTCGGCATCCGGTATTTTACGAAGTACATACTGTTACAAAACGACCTGTTGAGTAAAGAATTAATTAATTGAAAAGTAGAATTCAGAAAAAGCATTCAGGGCACCCACAACTGGTACGATGGACCAAGATCGTTAAATCCGTGTACGCTATTGTAATACAACGGATAAGCCGTTCGAAGAGATAACATACATCGATGAAAATAATATTTCTTCAACTACACTTGTATCGAGTGCCTAGGGGGCGCCGAGCGCTGCCAGCGGCGCATCCGAAGACAGCTCCCTCGCGGCGCAGGCGAAGAAAACGGGCTATTGCTTCCCAATATCATTTGTAATTGCACCATTTAGGCCCGATTTTCCAATTTTCAATCACGCAAGAGAATATAACTGTAAGTTTTCTATTTAGATCGCGTGCTTACCAGAGGGCGCAAGATTACCGATTGCACCCGAGCGCTACACGGGTTAGCGCCGGCGCTGATTGCATGCACCGATTATAAAGCTTTTTCTGACCAGCTTAACCCAATTCTGCGTTAATAAGAGTCTTTGTGTCCTAATTAATGTTCCAAAAAATGAAAAGGTCGCTTTTAACAACTACACATGAACATAAAGAGCAAAAACAATCCCCGTGAGCCTGTCTCTGAAGTTGTAAAACCACAGAGGCAGACGGACTGATGCGATGAGGACGGCTTCACAAAGGTGGTGCCGTAACCAGTGTGGCAAAGATCCGACAGGACCGAACTTCCTGTTGCGTCTGACCATACCGACGACGCTGCTGTATCTGTCACGACTGCATTACACCACGATATCTGAGGAGATAGTGGAGTGCCTACATCAGGCATAAAGCCAAGTACACCCTGAGGGTCGAGCGGTTGGAGTCCCGCCACGGCGTCAATTTTAATTCGTTTGTGGTGAGAATGCCGTCCGAACATCTATCGACCTTCATGAAGGAACAGTTTTGGTCGAAGGGTGTCATATATCGGCGATTCCGCGGCCGGTTACCTGATACCAGTTTGCCACACGTCGCCGACAAGTACAATTCGTGTAGATTAATTAGAAATAGTGTATTATTATATTGTATGTATGTTATTCCTTAAGGTATATATTATATGAATGTTTTATTGTATTATTATGTATGTTAGTCTATAAGGTATGTATTTATGGGTCTTTGTAACCTGAACACAAATAAATAAATAAATAAAAATAAAAGAATTGGTGAACATATTTGCCACCGGAATGTTAAAAAATACAAAAAGCTTTGAAGTTTTCTACGATTTTGGGGACGAAATCTCCACATTTCGACTTGCACCTCTTTGTAACCCCTAACAGAAAAAATATATTATCAGGTTTTACTCACAGACTTAGGTATCGTAGGGCCCATCTATAGGCAGTAGTATAAAAATAAGCCGACGAAGGATTGGACTGGGGAAACCGTTTAATTACTACTAAGTCTTCAGATAAAGCAGCAATTGACATAGCCATTTTAAATCCATCTATAATTACGACGACACCATCCTCGATATTCTTTTGAGAGGCTTTTTTTGCATCCGGCATTTCTGCAAATGTGACATTAAATTTACACGAGGTATTTTCGCTTTACGCAGGGTTGTATACTTAAATTCTGTAAGTAGACTGTGATATTGTTGTTTTGCACCTAGTTGAACACTGCATTTCATTACTGTTGTCTCAAGCAGACTGTCCAATACTATACTACCCGTAAAACGCCTGTATACGCGTGTTATCTGGACTTGTCAAGGGCATTTGACCTAGTTTCATATAACACTCTATGGCACAAGCTGGAGAGTGAGACTGGTTCACCATGCGAGTTGACTGCAATTTTAAAATTCTGGTACAGCCACCAAAACAATACAGTGAGGTGGGCGGGTGCTCAATCGGATGTTTACAGGTTGGAGTGTGGAGTTAGGCAGGGGGGTTTGAGTTCGCCGCGGCTCTTCAACCTGTACATGGACGGGCTGATGGGTGAGCTCACAAGTACCAAAATTGGTTGTTATATTGATGGGGTTTGCGTTAATCATATATGTTACGCTGATGACATGGTGCTTTTGAGCCCATCTATCGGCGCCCTGCGCAGGCTGCTAAAGATTTGTGAGTCTTATGCGGTGGTTCACGGGCTCAGATACAATGCGCTGAAGAGTGAGTGCATGGTATTTAAAGCAGGTACTAAAACGTATACCACAGTGCCTTCCATTGATCTAGGTGGCACTCCTCTAAAGCAGACAAAACAATTTAAGTATCTGGGTCACTGGGTCACCGAGGACCTATGCGATAATGCCGATGTGGAAAGGGAGCGCAGGGCGCTGGCTGTCCGTGGCAATATGTTGGCTCGCAGGTTTGCACGATGTACAGATGAAGTAAAGGTAACGCTTTTTAAAGCATATTGCCAGTCTTTTTACACGTGCAGCCTGTGGGTCAGTTACACGCGGCGAACATACGGAGCACTGCGCATCCAGTATAACAATGCGTTCAGGATGCTGTTCCGACTTCCACCTTTCTGTAACGCGTCGACCATGTTTGCTGAGAAACATGTAGACGATTTCTACGCTATCATGCGAAAGCGTAGTTCATCACTACTCCGTCGTATGCGTCTCAGTACGAACAGCATCCTGAGCACATTGGTGGAAAGATGGGAGTCCCCAATGCTGGGGCGGTGGATGCGCTTGCACACTGCTGCCAATGCGTAGCCAGTTGTCCTGACATTGGCTGGTTTTTATTTTATTATTTTAAACCTAACACTAGCTTAAGTATTTTTCGTTACTAACAAATATTATGGATGAATGTAAGTCTGAAATAAATGGATTATTATTATTATTATTATTATTATTATTATTACTACTGTGGACACATGAAACGAGATATTTTATGTTTCGTTTGGTTAAAATACTAGGAGCAATTTTTTTTTTCTGGACGTCTCTCAGCTCCTAATACCTTACTCAACAATGAACTAAACAGTTTGGATAGTACCATAAAATATGTAAGTGATCGTATGAAATACAAGTAGAATAGAAAGGAAAAAGGTATACATTTCTTTTAATATAAGAGTAATTCCGCGGTGCAGCGTGGCGCAGCCTGTTGTCAGCACCTTATGCCTCCACAGCCAATACAAGTTGTTACCTACTTAGCTTCTCAACCATACTACCGCCACTAGTTAAAAGGGAGCATGTGACATTTAAAACAAAAATGTTATGTATTTTGCCGTGATCAGTAACAGAAGGCCGCTGTGTCACTATTGTTATTTTTTTCCTATGTGGATAACATAATTATGAAGTTACCACAAGAGAAAAGTAGATATTTTTCTAATTTCATTTCTTTAAACATTATTTTCTCGGTTTTGAGCTTTTATCACAAGCGCTCTTTCAACTAACGGCGGCAGAATAAGGTTCTTGGAAAGGCAGACAGCGGCTGAACGACGTCGAGCTCCATAGCGCGTAATTTGGAAATAGCAATGCAATTATAGAACTTCATATCTGCTAAATTACTGAGCAGCCTACATTGAAGTTTTTCTTTTTGTACCTGTTTCTTAATAAAAGTGGTTTTGGCTAGTGTTGGTCTGGGTATTCTGGGTAGTGCCCCGGAATGAATTCCGTTGCTCTTCGGTTCCCGGTAGGACAAGTTTTATAATTTTATTAAAAAATTAAAATTTATTAAGAAAAAATAATAAAAGAACACCAACGAAACACACAAAATACAAACCTGAAAAATCACAGACAGGTGAGTACAACAATGTAATGGACAAATTACATTAAGTAGACACTAATGTAGCCTGGGCCAATAAGGCCCATCTAACTTCAAATTCAATTATTTGTATGATTTAAAAATTGCAAAGTTGAACTGTTTAATTATTTCTAAATAAGACCAAGTACCTACAAGTTTTAACATTCTAATAATAATTTGTCCTTTTTTGCTGCATTTAAAGAACTCTCACTTTGTATTTTATTAAACATCAAAATATGTTTGTTGCAATTATACAACTCATCAAGAATAAAAATGTACAAAACCACACACAACGTTATAAAGTTAAACAGGATAACCTATGACACCAAGTACAGTAATGCAATAGATGCGTTCCGGACAAAATCGGGTTAAACGAAATTCGCGGAAAACGGGGTTGTTCTTTTTTGTGTGACCCGTCTGGTGCTGTACTTTTTTGGTCGGTCTAACTTGACCTAACGATTGCGACTAGGGAAAGAACGGGGTATGATCGAATAAAAAGTTAAATATTGTAACGAACGTGCAATTCGAACCATAGATTTAGTATATCCAATAGATTGGCCCTGAAGTATTGGAGATGAGACCAAAACTAAAATACATCTTTGTGCATATAATGTGCATGTATGCAAGATAAACAGTGTTGCGCCATCCACTGATTTAACTTTAATATCGATTAACATATTACACCGGCATTTCACTTCGTCGTATTCACCAAAATGTCTTATCGCAAAACGCCGAGACTTAATTAATGATTCAATACAAAATTAAGAAAGCTACTATCACCTTCTGGCAGTGCCATAGGATGGTAGGAAACAATGGGGATTTTCACCCAAGATAACACTATGGCTCTACAAAACGGTGATAAGACCCATGATCAGTTACGGCGCGATAGTGTGGTGGTCACGAACCAAGCTGACGACCGCAACCGACAAGCTGGACAAATTCCAAAGACTAGCCTGCATGGCGACGATTGGCTGCATGAGGACAACTCCAACTGCGGCCCTCGAAGCCGCTGATTTGTTGTTGACGAGAGTAGTACTACACAAAAATCCATTAATTGTAAGACATACCGGCATGAATAATGTGGGTACAGAACCAGAACGTAGCTTTACTCTTTCCTTGCCTCTAAAGGAAAAGCATTTTTCCTCAAAGTGTTCGCTGCATATTTTTAAAAGTTTTTTGGGAACCCAGTCTTCTCTCTTTGGCATTATAAGCCATTTCTGGTGTACTTCAATGTTTTGAGGAAATCTGAATCAAAAGCAATAATTAACATAAAAAAAATGGGTGCCTCAACTACGCTATTAAAAGAAATTTTCGTTTTAATGTAGACAAAAAATAATGCACTAATGCAATATTAATTAAATATAAAGTACTAAAACCAGAAATTTCTGATTGAATAATATTAGGTATGAAGATGATTTCGGTTGTATGCAAGCCACGCCGTTGCCTTTCTTTTTCAGTTAATGACATCTCGATAACATATTATCGATTGCGTCAATCTCTATGAAAGTGGGGTTATGAATTTCAGAAATTCACATATTTGATATATTTTTTAATTGAATTCGTATACGTTTGGGTTATTGATGCACTTGAATGGTATAATTTTTCGGATATATTTACGTAAAAAACTTTTGTGGTAGTGCTTTTAGACAGCTAAAAATTTAAATAGTACATACATGTGAAATGTACAATTCTGCGAGTTTTCCTTTTTAGATGAGTTACATCCGGCAATGAACACCATGACTAATAAACGTCCGTTTAACACTATTTCACATTTTAAAACCAATTATTTTTCAAAAATAAACGAAATTTGTTTCGTTGTCAGCTGACCCTAGGTTCATACAGGCTATATGAACCTAGGCTATATAGGCTAATGAAGTGGTCTCGTCACCCATCTCGCTCTAACATAAGTGTATACTAACGCTCTTTCACTTGCATTGCCAATCTATGAGTACCTATATACTAAACTATGATTCGAACGATCTCATCTTTTCTAAAACTTTTATCTTCGTCTCCAAACTCAAGCTCTTACGCTCTTCATTCTTAGCCGGTGGTGTTATTGTTCGTAAAAATTATCTTTTACAATTCACTGGATAACAAACAGTACCAATCAGATTACAAATTAAAGAAAGAACTACCCCTGACAATGCACTTTTAGTAACTGAGAAGCTACGGGTTCACATTGGCTAAATCAATGCATCCGCGTAAAGCGGAGTAATTTACCGCGAATTGCGAAAATCGCGTTAAAAAGAAATCTTGCAAAGCGGGGTTTTACTGTATTTGGAACGAAAAAAATCGCATAACAAAACAATCTTAAACTTTGTTTCAATCTTAGATTTTTCAACATTAGAGATTTTTAAAAGTAATAAGTAACATATTGAGAGTAATCTACAGTACAACGACTGTCGACAAAATAGCGTCATTAAAAAAACTTACCTTCTTCCAACTTAATTAATTATACGGCCACGGGTAAAAAGGACATCGCTTGTGTGACATTATAATTGAAATGAACATTATTTTATTAACCTTTGCATCACTTTGGGTTGTGTTTAGGTACGTAAGGTATACGTAAACTCTTAGAATAATAACGCATAGAAACCTAGCCCGCAAACGCTAAGTGAGGCAAATTGTAGGACGCCGTATGGGCCTACATGAGCGAGCGGGCAGTCAGTGCTCAAGGTCAAGTTGTACCGCGAACAGCTCAAAGATTTTTGCTAAAAATGACGAAATGTGCGGTAATTGGGTTTAAAAATAGATCAGACAAACATAAAATAGACACTAACATCACATTCCACAAGGAAGTAACGCGTTTCAACTTGTATTTTTATGTAAATATTCACTAAAAAAGAAAATTAATTTCGTTGCAACAAGATACAAAAATGTTGCAAAATAACGGGTTTTTTCTCCCCATTTTGCTATTCTGTTTCAAAATAATTATATTACGTAATTTTTTGGGAATAGGCAATATCGCGACGGTTGCAAAATTTCTACAAATGTACACCGCCGCAACAACATTGTAGGGAATTTACGTTAGCTATTTTTACGAAATATATTTAGTATTTGCCTTCATTAGTTTCATGTGAAAAATCATTATTCTTGTTCATCATACACTCATTTAAAAAAATTGTCTTGGCCAGACTCAAAAGTTCGTAACTAAAATTACTCGTATTTCAGGGAACTAACACTGACTGAAAAGTCATCGTCAGTTCTCCAAAATCGTGTATAAATAACTTTCAGGTTCAGGTTCTTTATTGTTATCGTGTACTTTCATGTAAACATACCCACAGATAATATGGCTATTTATATATTCAAATTCGATAGTCGCACTTAAACTCGCTTGTAGGTTTTTCAAAAATGTATTTTTGGTAAACCATAAGGAAATGGCATGTATATCTGAACACAAGATAGCGGGCAAGACTTCTAATTCTTCGCCATCTTGGATTTAGAAATATATGCTACATTCGGAATGAGCAGCCTCAAATACCTTGAGAACGACACCCAACTTGCTATTATTTGAAAAGCCATGTCCGCCATCTTGAATTTAGAAATAAGTGCTATATTTCTAATGAGCACCCCTAATACCTCGAAAACGATCCCCAACTTGCCATTATATGAAAAATCGTGCCCGCCATCTTGGGTTTAGAAATGAGTGCCATATTCGTAATGAGCACCCCCAAATACCTCGAAAATGATACCCATATTGCATTGATTTCAAAAGTCGTGTCCGCCATCTAGGATTTAGAAATAAATGCCATATTCGTGATGAGCACCTCGAATACCTCGAAAACGATTCCCATTTTGCATTTATTTGGAAAGACGTGTCTGCCATATTGGATTTACAAATGAGAAAAGTCGTGTCCACCTTCGTGTATTCAGATATAAATGCCATTTCCACAAGGATCACCAAAAAAATTTTTTTTTGAAAATTCCTGTCACTTGACGTTGTCGATCAACAGTAACGATCGACAAAATCGAGCATATCTATAGGCACCTTTAACTTAATGATGAGTTAAGCAAGATACAATTTCCCCTCTTTTGAGGGAAATGTTATTCCATGGCATCATTATTTGTATATTTGTGTGCGTGCCGACGAGCGTAAATACAAGTTGCTTACGCCTACATGAATTTGATTTTTGCCTCACTTGTGACAGTTCGTTTTTTATGAAACTATCATTCTATGCGTTATTATTCTAAGCGTAAACTTAATAAAACATTATACACACAAAACTGAAATAAAACCATGATCGCCCAAAAATTTTTTTACGGGTCTTATAACACTTTGACGGCTTTATTACGCTGTCGATGTTTTACAAATAAAATCAAATATGCTAAATGCTGTGTCAATATTCAATTTGT